CTCATATAAAGCCTATGAAATGCTTTGAACTGCTCAGAACAGGAATGTAATGCAAACACAAGGTAGTAAGGGTGTCATTGATTCTCCTGCTTTTGCCAATATTAATGACAAGTGATCATTAATAGAGATTAATTGAAGAGAAGAACTACCTAGCCAAGCTGTGAACTACATCAGAATGAGACCATGACAGGCCAAGTGACAAATTCATAACAATAATGGTATAACATGGTATAATCATAGTATGACATGTAGTATATGTTTTCATCAGCTTTTTTGTTGCTAGGATGAAAAGACCTAACAAGAACAATTAGAGGAGTAAAAGTTTATTGAGGGCTCACAGTTTCAGAACTGACTGACTCCATTCTTTGGGCCCTGAAGTGAGGCAGAACATCATGGTGGAAGAGCACGGTAGAGGAAAGAAGCTTGGGATGTGGCTTCAGGAAGCAGAGGGAGCACTCCACTTAACAAAATATATACTCTAGCTGGGCTCAGTGGAGCACACCTGTAATCTCAGCAGCTCGGGAGGCTGAGACAGGAGGTTTGCAAGTCCAAAGCCAGCCTCATCCTCAGTGAGGGGCTAAGCAACTCAGTGAGACCCTGTCTCTAAATAAAATACAAAATAGGACTGGGGATGCAGCTCAGTGGTGGAGTGCCACTGAGTTCAATCCCTGGTACTCCCCCCACCCACTCCCACCCCCCCAAAAAAATGTATATATATATATATATATATATATATATATACACACACACTCTAAAGTCATGCCCACAGTTACCCACCTCCTCCAGCCACACCCTACCTGCCTATAGTTACCACCCAACTAATCCTTTCAAGTGGATTAATGTACTGATTAGGTTAAGGCTCTCATGACAGTTATTTCACCTCTAAACTTTCTTGCATTGTCTTCCACATGAGCTTTTAGGAGTACCTCATATCTAATCATAACAATGTACATGTCAAATACGTTATAAAAATAATGTGATTTTCCTGGCATAGTATTTTTTGTTTATCTTTGATAGAGTGTGCAAAAGCTAGGCCTTTAGAATTTATAATCTATAATAAATAATCTCCTGAACACCATGGTAGATAAACACCAACCAACCAGCCGGGCATGGTGGCACGTATCTATAATCCCAGCAACTCAGGAGGCTGAGTCAGGAGGATTGCGAGTTCAATGCCAGCCTCAGTAAGTTAGCAAGGCCCTAAGCAACTCAGTGAGGCCTTGTCTCTAAATAAAATATAAAAACATGGGCTGGGGATGAGGCTCAGTGGTTAAGCGCCCAGGGTTCAATCCCTGGTATTAAAAAAAAAAAAAAAATCAGCTGAGCTGAGAAGTAGGGTGTGTATGCAAAGATTGTGTGACACTGAGAAAATGACATCCCATGCTCGACTTCTTTATCCACTTTTCCAAGAAAGACCTGAGAAGTACTGTGTGTGACCCTGTATCACCTTTATAGATCCATTCTGCAAACAGCATTACCCAGTGATTGATAGCAGAAGTTCAGCAGCCAGATCTAGCAGGTTTGAACTCTGGCTGTACCCCTTATTACCTCTGTGTATTTGAGTGACTGCATGTAATTCAAAGCCTCAGTTTTGTCTCTGTGAAATGAGAACAAGAGTATTTCCATCATATCATTTTTAAGATTTTATACAACAGTACTGCATGTAAAACATATAGTGCTTGGCTCTGGCACATGCCTGCTAAGTGTGGATTATTATTACAAGGCCAGTAAAAGAGGAGAAACTTCTTAACCAGAAAGATTACATGTATAACCGCCCCCTACAAAGTCATTTTCATTTCATTGCTTTGAAAGGCCACATGCAGATACACAGCTCTTTCAAGCATTTAGAAGTGTTACTTTTTTGGTGATTATCATACTGAAGGGAGTTGTCAACATATCCAGGAAGAAACATAGGGGTCTGTAGCAGAACACCACATGGCTTATAGCAGGGTGGTGGCCAGAAGGCTTAGGTTGAAAGATACTACTCTTTTCCTCTGGTCTATTAGATTTTTGACCTCTCGACTGTTGCTTGCCCTAAAATTGTTGGTGCTCAATCCACCTGTTCTTGAAAAGAAGAGGGGCCTTGGTTTTCCTAGTCCAGTAGAGTGTGAGCCCAGGTACCTGCAGAGAGTCCTGCATTACTGTTGTGGGATGTGCTGCTCCCAGCAAAGGGTACTCCATATTTCCTCTAAGCTTTTGCTCTATGTATTGTTACCAAAACGATCCATTACCACTCTTTGATAGTCTGACTCAATCTTTAGTCCCTGCATCATCCTTGGGAGCAAGTAAGATGCAGTACAGGACCCTGGGTTGGAGCCCCAGTACTGAAAAAAAAAAAAAGAATCAACAAAGTAAGATGCAGAGTAGACTTCCCCTTAAGCAAGAGTCCTCTTGGGATACTGGCAATATCTAAAACATGTGCACCACAATTAACCTGAGCTAATTAGTTATCTTCCTACAGGTAGAAACAAACCCATTGGTTTCCCACATTATCTTCTTTATTTATTTGGGAGAAATTCAGAAATTTTTCAAATTAGATTATTTCCAAAGTTGTGTGCATTATGAAATGTCAGAGGAAAGTCATCCAACCCCCTCCTTCTTTCCACGTATAGTTCCAATTTCCTGACGCCAATTTCTTCCTTCTAATTACAAGCACTCCAAGAAGAACTAGTTTTTGCAACTCAGCATGAGAACAAGTAACTCTTATTTCTTCAGGCTGAGTTGAATACAGGAGACTTCCTGAATCTGCCAGAATACAGCTGCCTAAGGTACAAGATAAGTCTTCCCTGTTCTATTATTTTTTATATGTTAGCACTGAGGTTCACGAGGGGCAATATATGTGATCAGAGCCCTGTGCTAGATATTTTTGAAGGAATTTTGCCCTGGTGATAAGTAATATGGAAAACGGACTTTTTTTTTATTCTAAAGGGTAAGATTAAAAATATGGGTGTTTTGACTGTGTGTTAACATTAATTTTAAATCACTAGGGTGATATCATTGTCAAAGCCAAGTGTACCTTTTGTTGTCCTGCTGTTCATTCATGGGGGAAAACAGCTTTTGCTCCTTTGGGAGGGTGTGAATGTCACATCTCAGGCGCAGTCCGAGCATCTTCTGCTGAGGTCAGCATTCAGAATTATCCCTGTACTCATTTTCTCATTTCCCTTACAGCAATATACTGAGTTTGCTGAATTATGTGAATTCAGAGTTAGTGAGCCCAGGACACAATCATGCTATTTATTTTAGAAGCAAAACTTCCCTTTCTTCTGGGGTTCACCATGGACCTCCCTCTCTTCCTTGAGCATTTGATGCCTTCCCAGCTTCTAAAATTGGTTCCTAATGAAGGTCGTATCCATGCAAAACAAAAATAATTCTGTTTTCATTGTTCTTATATCATTAAAATTTCGTAAGTTAGGTTTTAATTTCCTGAATATAAGTTCTTTTGCTAATGCAACCTTTTAAAATAATCTAGAGCCAATCTTATCCCCTCTGAAAACCTTGAAAATGGCAGTACTCTCCATTTATCTTAAATCTGAGAGCATAACAAAAAGGCATCAGATCAATAGCTCTTTTCTTTTTTTTTTCCTTCATATTCAAACCACCAAATAAGAGCCTTAGCTATTTGTTTATCAAAATGTGTGCTGATGCTTTTTAATAGCTCATCATGTACCAGGCACTACATTAAGTAATTGACATTGCTTTAACTGATTCAATCAGTACAATATAGTAAAGTAGATTTAGTATCCATATTCGAAGTGAGGAAATTAAGACTATGAGAGGTTAATTTCACATAGAAAATGAAGCAGCCAGAATCTGGTCATCTGGCCCTCTCCAAATCACATAATGTCATAGGTGTGATGGGGGATTTTTTTAAAAAAAAGCAGTATAAAGTGAAGTACTGTGTAGTCTTCACCGTGAAAATTGGCTGCAATTAAGACAAGTTTTCTTGCAGTCTGGGAGATCCCAGTATCCATTCAAGAGCACGTGAGACAGACAGAGAGTAGTTTCTTCCTCTTTTCCAAATTTTCTGTGGCTCATTCTTGCAAAGGAAGGTGGTATTTGAGAAAAAAAAAAATGACCATGCAGGCTGCATGATAATTACCATAATTCTTAGTGAGGTCAGAGATTGTCACATCTCAGAGTTCAAGACTGAATTGAATAAGTATCCTGAGGAGAATTGCATGGATGCATTGAATCAAAAGCCTTCTAGAAAATACATATTCCTTGAAAGAGAACAAAAATTCTGTGTGTATGTACTGGATTTATTTTCTGTTTGTTTATGACCGGCATTGGGTTTTCCAGCGAGCCTGTCTCCTGTTCACTTGTTGTCTTGTGCTCTCCAATGCTAACCGCCATAAGAACTAGGTATCCAGGACTTAGCGTAACAGCTACATATTATAAATTAAGTGCACCCTCATAGTTGTCTGTGCTGAGGAGCCCAACTGCAGATTCTGTACCATAGTCTCTTCCTTGAACAACAGTGAAAATGGGAACTGGATTTCAGTTGAGGTTTTCCATATTCCGTGTGTGTATACAAAGAAGGCTGAACATTGCTAAGTTCTTTAGTAAAATTGCAAGTCAGCTGCCTAATTATGATTGAACAAGGCATGTTCCAGAGACCTTCCATTTTGACTTTAGCTTACTCTCGATTTCCGGTAATGATGCAGACTTTTACACCAAGTACGACAGTGCTATGATGGGCAGCCATTTTGTTGAGGAAACTGGAAACCCTCACCCTTTTAAACACTGAGCTACAGACTTCGGTCCTGTTATTTCTTCCATTTAAGGTTACATTTTCTGCCTCCCCCAGACAAATGTCACTTCTCCATCTTGAGAACAAAGACAGCATTTGGCCTTTGGTTATCCCAAACCCAAATCTTTGCCCCTTTGTTTTTAGTACTTTGCCATTTTGATTTTGCTTTTTTAATTTGCTTGTGACTCTCTGCTTCCCCCATCTTTTTCTTTTTTTTTGGTACAATGATTCTTACCTTGTCTTTCCCCAGTCCGTTTCTGACCTGGAGAGACGTACAGCATGTTATTGTCAGGACTTCCCGTGCGGGACATTTGAACGCTAATGACTGGAAAACCAATGCTGCTGGTTTTAAGGGTGAGAACTTCTTTCATATTCTGTCACAGGCAAAATATTTTTTATTTTTCCCCCATTTTAAATGGAGAGCAGGAAAATACAGCTCCTCAAAAGAAATTTTAAATTTTGTGCTCACACAGAGCTTGATCTTTTAGTAAATAAAAGGCAGCTTGATGTTTTTTAAAATTAAAACTACACATATAATAAGGCAGACTTCCTTGTCTTCCCATATCATAGAGGTCAGGTTTCTAGATCGACCAACTCCCAAGTATAGTCGGCCTATGGGACTCCTAATTAGCTTACTTGTGCTGTCATTGATGATCTGAGTTGTATTTTAACAATGTATTTTAAAATTCTTTGCCTTCTATAGTGATTACTTCCTCTTAAGTAATAATGGATAGATGTTGTTCACTGTAGTGTAACACTGTTAGTCCATGCATTCTGTAAATTTTGTTTTTGTTTTTGTTTTTTTTGTAACTTCCACAAACAGAACAACAGGCATACTTCTAAGAGATGTTATTTTGTATAGACCAAAAGTTCTCATGAAGCTTTGTATCGTTCAGTCCTTATGCACCTATGCACAGGTATAACAAGCATTGAATATTTTCCCCATGGCTAATGCATTTTTTATATTATATTTCCTTCCAATGGTCTTATTAATAGCATTCATTTTATTTATTGTCAATGATAATACATGTTGTAATAAAAGAAAAATCACACAGATGTTCTAAGGTTTAGTATAGTTACTCAAGTTGAAGATGACTTAAACTTTAATCAACTAAGTTTTAACTAGATTACTTTTTTATCACACATGATTTTAAACTTACTCCCAATAATTTTAATATTATAACATAGTCCCCTGTGCATAAGAACAATGTGCCATACCATAGGAAATATCTACTTAAATAAGATTCTGTTCTTCGAACTGTAGGTAATAATCTGAATAATCCTGAGCAAGACATTTAATTTCTAAAGGTCCTAACTGCCCAAATTTATGCATTTTGGAAACTTAATAATATTGTCTACATGTGCTATCTTAAATATGCTCTTAATATATCCATAGGGAATTATGCCTAATATATGCAAATAGTATGTTGGAATACGTATTTAAAAATTATTTATAAATAGCTTATAATAGATTCGTGCTTAGCTAGAACCTATCAATGACAGGTAACCAATGCACGTAAATAGTACTTTAAAGTTTTCACCAAAAGCTTTGTTCCATTTTTTAAAAAAAAGACTATCCCTCTGATTTTGAGTATTAGCAAACACCTCTTCCATGCTTATAAAGGGCATAATGCAGCAATATTCAATGAATTTTTTAATCTTAAAGAGTTGTCAGTACCTGGTGGGATCCTATTCTCTGTAGCCCCAGTCAAGTCACCTGATCCCTACCTTATAACATCATCAGGGCACCATCAAAATTATTTGAAATTTATTGTTCTAGAAAACCCAGAATATATCTTCCATCTTGGTTAGCTTCCACGTGCGCCCAACTACTGCTGTATAAATCCACGAGGATTGGAGCAAGGAACTGACGCAGAACCTTGGCTGGTTCTAAGGCTGGAGTGAACTTCTTAGCAGAAGGTTCACAAACTAAGTACGTTGACCTCCATGAAGCTGAGGAATCAACTTTAACCCAAATAAACGTCTTAGTTTTACTTATTCCTTTTTGGCAACTTAAAAGGAGCAAATGGTTCTAATAAAACACACAGCTCTTTTGAAAACCCCTGTTGGTTTTGGAGAGGGGGAAACAGAGGATTTAGACTAAATCACCAGACCCAAACCTGAATCTGAAGGGGGCTGTACGCTGCTTCTGGCAAGGAGGAAATAGTATTTTACTATTGCACGTGGCAATATTTAGTATAATATTTCACTCTACTCTTAGATGGCTGCCAAGAGTAACAATTAAAGTTCGCTTTTTCATAGATGAATTACTCTGACTGGTCTGGGCTCCCAGTGGAATTGTTTTGTAATTTTGTTGATGGCAAGCCCCATATTTCATCTAAACATGATCATAATGAGATGAATTTTTTAAAGAGTTATTTTCTTCTGTACTCTAAACATTTCCATCCCCTCCCAAGTGTCTCACAAATAAAAGCGATTACGGCAGAGGCTAGCGAAAGAAACAACGCACTTTGGGGAAGCAGAGAATACAGGTCACCAGGACCGGAGGAAAAAAGCAGGCTGACTTTTTATGAAATGAGAACTGCAGGAACAAAAAGACCTAATGTTTGGAAGAGGTTCTTGCAAGGAGAGCTCAGTAAGACCTCGTCCTTTCAATTAAGTCAGCTGACTTTTGCAGGCCTTGCTGAGCAGAAATCTATGCCATACATTTCTCCCTAGACAGGAGAATACGAAAGGAGCCTGCCACCAGAAGCCTGTGCCCACAGGTGCTCTCCCCCAGTCCCACCCTACCCAGATTTAACACTGAGTGAAATGTATGCATGAAATGAATTCAGAAACGCCTGTGCTTCTCTGAGCTTGCTTTTGTGACCTAATGATGAGCATTTGATTTAGAGTATGTAAAAAAGGTGGGGGGGGGGGACTGATCTCAGTGATGGAGATGTTAGTATCCAACAGAATTTCTTTCTCATCTGGTAAAACAGAAGCCACTTAGAGTAGCTACCAATTCAGTTTGGGTTTTGTAAATCAATAGATATTATCACTGACAAAGAAGACCTACACCCTAAATAGCAGCCCCTGCCAAATCTACTTTACAAAACCTCCCTGTATGTCTTCAGACAGACTGGTATGTCATACCTCCCAGGCAAACAGTGAGGTTAGACAATGGATGAACTAGACAGCTGGGGGCCCTCCTAAAGGCTTGATCCAGACCACCCATTTTGTGTTGTGGACCTAGAAGGTGGAAGGCATTCCCTGGTCCTGAAGTAGCTGTGGGCTTCCTGCTGACAGGTTCTTATGCAGGCCCAGAGGTGGCTTTGAAACAACAAAGAAAGGGGCTGTCTGCTGATTATCTCTGTGTTTCTCAGAGAGGAGAGTGGGATTACCCTGGAGTTTCAGGAGATAAACCAGGAACCCAGAACTTTCTCTAGTCCTGTGTTCTCATAGTAGCACTTTGTAAAGGATCCAATAGTGAGATTAGCTCTCAGTAAGGGAAACCCCAAAGATGCAAGCCACTATCAACATGTTTATGCTGATGGCACCTTAATTTTTGAAAATCTTAATAGAACTAAGATTATTCTGTCCTGCTGATTCTTGAATAATAATAATAATCCCTTATAAATGTCTTTTATAGTAAGTTTTTCAGAATAAACATCATCCAATGAATACACATTATGAAAACTGACTAAATGTCAATTTGCCTTGTTCATTTGTGAATAATGCTCATTAAATTTCAAACTACACCTTCTGATTTTATAACTCCTCCAGAGAAAGTTTTTTGAAAAATAAATGGGACAAATATTATACATCAAGGAAAGAATCTACTTGAAATTGTAAGTGTGAATAGGAAATTGCCTTAGATCAGATGAATGGGTTTGGTATTTTGCCAGTGGAGAAATGAAATCTAAATTCTAGTATTTTGCTACTGACCAACATGTGTAATGCCAGGAGATGACTCTAGCATTAAGCTCTTTAGGATTTTGTCAGGATTATCGCTTTTTCTGCCTTAATCCTTTCCCATTTCTTTTATGACAAGGTTCTTCTGTTTTGTTTTGCTTTCTTTTCTTTTTAATTCTCCCTCCACGCTCCTTAAAATGTACCAAATAGCTGTAGAAGTAGGGAGGGCTTTTTTCATCTGGGTGGTTTTCTTCCCAGAATTTAATTGATGCTGTCTCTTCACTTTTTAATATTTCCTAGCAACTTCAGTGTGCCAACCCAACTCATGTTGAAGTGAACCCAGGAAGTGGGCCAAAACATCGGGGGCTCCATGGTGTTGCCTAGTCAGATCTGCTCTGGCATCATTCACATACACAGACAGACATTTTTGTAACACCTATTATTATTTTCCTGAGGTCTAATCCCCAACAGTCATTTTAGAGAAAAGCATCAATGATCCTTCTCTCATCTTCTAAAATTAAACCCAACCTCAGCAACAGAAGGCATCTAAGACAGAGAATACCCGTTTAGTGTCTTATGTGTACATCCAGCAGCTCTGTTCAGGCACACAGGATTGTGGCCCCAGAGGGCCATCCAAAGACTTTCATTTGGGCGTTCTTGATAGTCTGTCACTCATTTCAGTTTAGGAGGAAGTTAGTTAGCTCTTGGGGGAGAGCTATTCCCTTCTACTGCTTTTATATAAGTAAACTACCAACCCACCGACCCTCTCTCCCCCATGTTCCTAGGCCAAGCAGCCTGGTTCTGACTCCTGACCTTTGGTTCGAGTATGCATTTATGATCATGATGGAATGCATGGACGTCAGTGCTCTAGCTTTATATGGAATTATTTGTATTTGGATTGTATGACTGTATACAGTTAAACTCTCTTAAATCTAGGAACAGGAATAGACGTCAGATAATAAATTAGGACCTTCTGTCATCTTTACTAGGCGAAAGATGGAAAAAAATGTCATTGAAAAATCAAAAATGACAACTCAGTGAGCGAGGGTACCACGCCTTCCATTTCACTGCCCTCCCAGACTATGTAAGTCTCTTTTTTTCTTCCAGCATGTTGCTGAAACCTCCCATCCCCACTGACTCCTTCTTCCACCACAACTAAACTACTAGATTTTTTTTTTTTAATTTCTAACTGGTTACCCACCGTGGGGAAAATGATTGACAGTCTAACGTGACCTCTTAGCCTGTGAGACCTTAACTTTTAATAACCTTTATTGCTTTCAATTGCCATCCATTTATTTCCACGGGCAGGGCTGGTAATTTTAAGATGTTCCAATATAGTTTGAGTACCTACCCATTTTGCTTTCACTTTGTAACACTTATTAAAAGGAATTAGAAATGCTGGAACCATTAAGCATGCCAAACGAGAGGTTTTGAATTGTTGTTTTCTTTGTTTTTCACGTGTATGAAGTGATTTCTAATGCTCTTGCCATGGGAAGGGG